CTCCTCAGCTTTGATCAGAAGCTCCGACGTTCCGGTAGCAGAGACTTCGCGTCGAAGGGCAGCACATGTGGAGACGAGCCTCTGTCGACATACCCAAGCCCTGCTGAAGCCTTGTGGAAGACCAATGGTCGCGAGCGGCGGAAGATGACAGAATGAAACCATAAGAATCTCTAACATGTAGGGATGTTTGTTTGATTAAACGGTGAATAGTAACCCAAATCACAGTTGTAGTTAGCACGCCTAGAAATAGCTCCAACATCCATATGAATCCACTTCTTCAGAAATGAGTCAATTCCCTATACATCATGCACTCTTGTAGTGTCTTCAACGACAATGTGCCAAGGAAACATTTTTCATAATTAATACAACCCCCTCAAAAGAACAAATTTCCATAGATGGATCCTCGAGGCATGGCAATCACCTCGGTCTTCCTGGAAGAATGCATTATCATAACCGATTCCATCACTGGTCATCGGTCGTCTTCGCTGAGGCATAATAGCAACCAACTCCTGAGCTTCAGTTTGATATTTATCGTGAACACGTTGTCGTTGATACGATAGCAAATACACAACAAGTGAGCAAGATCTGTAACGAACATGAATCCTCTAAGACCGTGGTCAAGATTAGGTCAATCGCAGCATGTTGTTGGCTGCACTATTATGGAGACTCAATGATAAATGCTGCCGTGGTGGCTCTCCACAATACCTCCTCAGAAATGCCTTGCAATTCCGGATTCATACCGTAATTCGAGATAGTTACAACAACACACTAGCAGGTTCGAATCCCGCACGTTGTATTTTTCCCACACGAATTGGACCCTTCTCCTTCTTAGGGCATGGTTTGTTGCAACTGATTGCTAAACGAAGTCTCTCCAATGAGAAAGCATAGGAGTCGACGAAGCGCTCGCCTGTTTTCTCCATTTTCGAGCGATGACGACAATTTTCGCGGTGTAGGTCGCAGAATAAGAACTGTCGCCGTTTGGGTTGGTAGACTGGATTACTTAATAAACCACAAGTCGTAAGCTGAAGTCAATTGGGTGAATAATAATCATTTCCGAAAACGTTTTTGGGTACAGAAGTTGTTTACTGAAAATCACTTTTTCTTACTACAGCTAGCACAGTGCTGCAAAATATGTACTCGCTTTCCTCAGCTGAGCTCAATAATTTCCTCACTAATCATAGGTGTTCATATACGAATCGAGAAAAAATACGAGAAGTGGACAGAAACTGACATAAATTCTCCAAATTTTCCTCAAAGTTGTGATATCGTTACCAACACTTGTGGTTGATCACGTGCAAATTTAACCACACTGAGCTAGCATGTCCTGGTGCCACAACAAACTGCAAGTAGTTTGGGCCGATGTGTTCAATAGACCTCTCCTGAGCTTCAGAGAGGATTGGATTGCACGGATGTAGAACTTTTGAAACTCATGAGAGGTTTGTTGATTTCCAACATGCATTTACTGACTATCATTGACTCAGCCATTACCCAGTGCTCTAACTATGCGCATCTTCACCTTCCTCGCCAATCTAGCAGGTGCCTCAGCATCATCTATATTCAACCCTCAAGTAAGTTACTCTAGTAATTTGTACATCATGTAAAACCCCGTTCTCAGTGCCCAAGAAGAAACGAGAATGCCGCGACTCCATCCCCTCCAGCCGCCGAAGCTGCTTCTACTGCCAAGCCGGCCAGTGAGGAGGTCCCCTATCCGGTCGAGACTACTACTACTACTACTGCCACCTCTGAGCCGACAGCCCTCAATACTACTACTACTGCGACCCCATCAGTCAGTGAGTTACAACCGGACTCAGGCCTTTCTTTCAATGAAGTACACCCCAAGAAGAAAAGAAAGAAGAGGAATAGTGCAATTCGTCGATAAGATGCATGTGCTCTGGTGTACTTATCAATGGTTGATGATAACTGTCATGTTTAAAGTGAACTGATAATCTGAATCGCCTACTTTCAAAATTAAGTTTCCTCAGAATTTTCATATTGTCACCAACACATGTAGTTGACCATGTGTATATTTTATTCCACGCTGTCCTCAACTCTAAACACAACACTGAGTATTGAAAATGAACCCAACTGATCACTGCTCCGTCGGAACAGAACTTCTGCAGCAGAAGGTGGTCCTAATGACAAATACTATATACCAACCGTAAGAGCTGTTGATCGTGAGTGGTAAAGTCTCATACCATGTCAACAGGATACGCTAAACGCACTATGCTATCAACCACCACTGATTCTGCAAATCCACTGCTGGTTGTACGAATCTACTTGCATCCAATGTAGTACATCAGATTGGTTAGTTGGTGTACTACATCGTACGGTATGATTCATACCACGATCAGTCTGATCGGATCAGAAGTTCTGATTCACAACGCTCAGTACTATTCCCTACCCAGATGCTGTTGCTTTCCTCAGCTTAGCTCATGCACTTTCGCACTATATTACAGATATTGATATACGACTCAAGGAGCTGGAGTCAAAGTAGAAGTTTACAATTGCCATCAACAGAGTCAGTTGAGCATATGCATGATGTACCCCACTGAATTCATGATACAGCCACAGTGATTGCACTACTTGAGGTTCACATGAACTCAACTAAGACCATAGTTGGTGACAGAAAGTCTACGGGGAGCAAGCCCTAGCCTGAAAATGTTTTTCTATTCACTATTCACGCCGTTCTGCTTTGAGCCCATGACATTAGTCAGCGAGTAGATCCAAACCCTCTTCCGTCATGGAAGTTCCATACCCAAACCGGGGTCTCGTTCGTTAACGGAATTAACCAGTAAGAACGGCCATGCACCACCACCCATAGAATCAAGAAAGAGCTATCAATCTGTCAATCCTTCCTATGTCTGGACGGGATTGTACCCGGAGTGAACCTAGAATACGGATATCCAGGAGGCCCTTCGGCCCGAAGACTTTGAGTTCGAAAAGTGTCTTCCCAGATTTATGGATCGCTTGCTCGGAGTGGATGAGATGATTGACGAGCGGTTCGAGGTCCTATGTTGGACAGTCGAATCACTCGACTCAGATGGCGTTCAAACTGATATAAAACTTTACTGGTCACACTAGCCTTATGAGAGAGGTCTGAGACGGTAGATATGTATTACATGTTACGCAACATGTAGCACTTCACCGAGACTCGCTCCGTCAGCATGCAACACACGTTTTACACTTTCATAGTGAAAGTTTTACCCTAATTCGGTGAGGTACGGCTTGTGAATCCGTAAGCGCTCTTAACAGTTAACGACCCGTGGCCGAAATTTCGCCCCTGTTTTCGTCGACTACATTATGAGAAGTCATACACGACTTGAAGTGTACCAATACCAACACGAATTTCCTTTTTGCTGGCTATGTACATATTTTCCCTTCTCCCTCACTTTCCAACCAAAGACCAGTGCTATCCCAAAAGCGGCTGTGATCGAGAGCAGCCTTCAAGTGGCACCGTGAGTCAAGATTCTTGACGTTTTCTAATGGTACCTCCTGAATCCGTATCCTGTATGAAATTCTGATGAACATCACGGAGAAAGAGTATCTCAAGATGACCACGTGGAGTAAAATCACGTATCCTTAGACGATTCAATACTGACAGTAATTGAACCCAAATTCGTGCTTCGAACGAGGTCATCAGCAGTAATAGTATCAAAAGCCTATCCAACTCCCGGAGGAGAACAACAAAAATGATCGATTATTGTGGCGCGCGCTTTATTGTCGACAACATACTGGTTTTGACAAACTCGCGTATGGCAACAATTTTTCCCGCGGTCCACCTACCTCACTTTATACTTAGGGTAGTCATTACTGTCTCCAACTCCAATTATGAATACTGGTATCATCGCGACGCTGCAGGATCCTGAAACACGCAAAATATGGTTGGCTAATAATATGGTAATAACTAGACGGACGTTTAATATCGCATACCACTCCTTCAGGACAACATACGCTTCTGGGGTCTGTTTTGCCTTGTGGGATTGGTGTTATTCTACATCTCTTCTGATTGGGATTTCTCTATGTTGCTCACGACCAGCTCAATGATCAGCATGTTTTCATTTCTGATGGTTGTGGTTAAAATAGGTAAGTCCACCTCAAGGGCTGGACTAATTCACTTGAGTGGTTTCATCAGAGACGTCCAAGTCGGTGAGCGGAGTGTCGTTGAAGATGTTCGAGTGCTATACATTAGTCAGCGCATGCAGGCTAGTGTCCATCGTCCCATTCGAAGGGTACTAAATCGGACCTATTCCGTATCCAACCATGGCGACCTCAAGATACCTACCCTACGATCGATCCGGAGATTGGCTCTACCAGCTCACAGAGGCTATCAGTCTGTGTCTAGCCGGGACTGTGGTGTATTATTCCAGCGCCAAACTTGCCTAATTCATACCACGCCTCAGTTACTTTTGCCGTGTACGTTACCGAGCTACTTACGAAGCAGGAGCCGACACCTTTAAGCACATTTATCTGCTAGTCATAGCACTGGTTCTGGCAGGGATATTCCATCCTAGCCTCAATGCTTTCATGTGAGGGACTGCACCACGGTGTCAAGTTGTTCATCTCAGAGTTGTTCATCAGGCCTGCTGATATCGCATGGACCTTCGCACTTTACCTTGAGTCAGTTACGGTATTACCACAACTATTCATGTTTCAGAAGCAAGGAAAAGTGAGCACTCATGATCATCAGTAAGGTTTGGTATTTCCCAGTATAGGTGGAGGCGTTCACGAGTCACTTCTTAGCTGGACAAGCTCTCAGCAGAGTAGTGGGGTTAGTGACAATACTTGTGTGTAGCTGGTGTATAGGTATGCTCCTTCATTTTCTGGTGGTCCTCATATAAGGAGCTCAATGACCCTAGGCATCCCACCAAGGCTTATGTTGGGTAATACTATGAGAGGTCTTCAACAATGATTCGATTAGTTTTGAGAAGTGTGGAAAGTTATGCTCATGGTCAGCCACATATGTTGGTGAAAATTTTGAGATTGCGAGGAAATTTTGAGAGGTTATTGTTGATTTCTGTACATTTTCACCCGAAGTCGTATATAAATTCCTATAATCAGCTTTGGAAACTCCTGAGCTCAGCTGAGGAGAGCGAATATATATTCCTACTCGAACACTGTATAGGAAACTCCTGAGCTCAACCGAGGAAAGCGATTACATACATTCCTACTCCAACACTGTATAGGAAACTCCTGAGCTCAGCCGAGGAGAGCGAATATATATTCCTACTCCAACACTGTGTGTCGGTGATAATTCTGAACACATCTACCCGAATTCGTATATTAAGTGGTGAGGTAACTTCTGAGCTCAGCTGAGGAAACATAACATATATTCCTCCAACATTGGCTTTGAGAAATAACTTTTCTAAGGATTCGATAACAGTTGGGAATATGTAATGACATTTACATGGGAAACTGATTAGAGAACTTTCATTGGAAATTCAAAATGAATTCTTCACTGAGGTAGGTACTGGGTTATGCTCATGCAGTTATTGCAGTTGATCGTTATGGGTGATTTCATTTACCATTATATCAACTGGTGAGTCCTTTCCTTTTGAGTGGGTTTTCCCTACTTCCTTTTCTTAGTCTTCGCAAGGGTGTTCCGGTAAGCTTTATTTTGAGTGACGCTGTATGAGGGCTTGGCGCTAGTCTTGTCTTTGGTGAAGTATTGCGATACCCAGTGTGTGGTTTTCGGGTATAACAATAGTAGTAATATCGTATTTTCTATGCGAGTATGTGTTGGGTTAGTATTGTGAATTGTAGGAAAACCTCGGGTATTGTATTTTAGTGAGTGTGAAATAGCTGGGTTCACTGGAGTTTCACCCGTTTTACGTGAAGTGGTGCAAAACTTGGTGGAAATCTGTGACGCGGTATGCAGTAGTCGCGAAATATGTTTTTCATATCACGAGTATGAGTGTCATAGTAAAACTATTGCTGAAATCGGCATCCCTGGCCGGGGTTTCATTGACATACCATTCTTTTCTCAAATCTTATCACACTAATGAGTGTTTCCCTGGTAGTCTTGCCAGCTACTAAGCAGGCGTGAAGTGAAGTTGCTCGCTAGTTTCGTTACAAGATGCCATTCACAACTGTCGCGATTTCTGTTACCACATGTTACTGCGAGCAGCTGTTCAAAAACAGGATTCTCATTCTTATACGCTTCGGTTTTCTTTTTTTTCAACAGATATGGCACTATTGGGGAGTCTTGTCATTTTATATTTTCCGTAGTAGTAGTAGTAGTTACTTCACTCGATTGCGATGAGGGGCAGCGGTTGTGAAGGAATTACGGAGGTTCTTCGTACTGAGGGTGCGGAAAATTCTTTTTAGCAAAGAATTTCTTTCATCAAGAAGATCGAATGAATCCCTCTCCCCCCCGGAATCTTATTCGAATCATTGAGACCTTATGAGTATTGAAAATAGTCGTTAGTCAGACTCGAGGTGCTTCGGTCGGTGTTCACTTTTGGAATTCACGGTGGCGTGCAGGAAAGCTGTGCATATAGACAAGCTATTTTGTCGTTTCTATGGGCAGATTTATTATAGCTAGCTATTGGTAGCTATTTATGGCTAGAGGAATTGGTATGCATATAGAGGCATTTACAATGTGATCATCATGGTGATAGTATATGAAGAGCTGACGGTGATAAAGAGCTAATGTGAAGAGAACTCACAGAGCACACAAGACTGGATGTAACCACTACGAGGCCTTGAGGTTCTTACACTCTCTCTACTATCCCTATCTAGCTCTAGCATCGTGCCATTGGTAATTCGCGTTGATACTACTACTACGTTCATTATCGTCTTCTTCTGTAGCACTCCTTTCGACCAGGCGAGTAGTAGCCAGTATAGGGGTATAGCTGCAGGCCCAGTCACTGCTGCCTGAGCCCTGGTGTGAACTGGTATAAGACAGTGTGTTACACGGTAGAGAGTTCGATAAGTAGGAAGGTGATGTTCATCATTATTATCTTATTATTCTGTTGCTCTGTGGTATGACCAGCATTTAGTGGACTACTATTTTGTATGTTATCCCAGCTTGTAGGAATTTTTGGTTTTTTATTTCTCCATATTATGGCTGTTTCCGAGGTAGCATCATACACTATAGCGTCGTTTGCGGTGTATGTTGGTATTCACGTATGGAAGAAAGATACGAAGCAGGTCTACAACGTGACCTGCCTAGTCACCGCTCTAGTCGCTGTTATTATGGGCGTCGTATGTGTCTTTATCAACAGAGAGGCGGTGTTCACCGGAGCGTTCAAGTAAATGTTTTTTAACCATACCGTAACTTTGCTACATCCTATCCTTCAGTTCGAACGAGTCGTTGCCGTTGGTCGTATTCCTCCTGGCCCACAACTACGGGCATCTCCTCTACGACCTATACCATGGCATGGTGTGGCGACCGGTCGTCCTTCCACACCATACAGTCACTTTATTGAGTAAGATGCATCAGTATTAGTTCACTATCTTACGTTTACGTGAACTTATGAAAGTTGGAATTGTTTTGGTAGAGTCACTTGTGAATTTCACTTCACTCTGTTGATATATTATTCTAACTTCAGGTATAACAGCATCGTTCCTCTACGACTCAGGAGGACTTATTATAGTTATTGACAGCATCATCACTGAGTTGGGTTATCTATTCTTATTAATTTACTATCGTTACCGTACGAGGCGAGTCTACGGCGTTGTTATCATCCTATACGGCTCGCTACGCATTGTCCTGCTCGCCTGGAGTTACTCTGTCTTTCAACAGACACTCGCACTGGGTGTTTGGTCAGTACAGGTCCTTACAGTGCTCGGTCAGGTCAGCATCGTAATTGTCGCTTTCCATTTTCTATACCGTCACTGTGTGAACTACACTCAAGCAGGAAGAAGTCGACCATCTAAATTTGATGTGTGCACTGCGTCTGCTCTGGGTGATGCACGAGGCGGTTCTAAGGCGACTTTCTGAGCTCAACCGACCAACGTCATCAGTTTATCATTATAAGTAGTCGGGTTCCTCGTGTGAGTGCCTATACGCTGTTGAGTTGGAGTAAGTTTAAATCGTCAGTGGTAAGGCAGGGAATATAGGACGTGTATGCCTCCGCGACCGGTAACACAGTTTTTTCCGCGAAGTGAAATGTGAAATATGTTTTTCACTAGTGTTTTCCACGGGTGGAACTCCAATGATGATGATTCCTCGCAGATAAAACTGAGATATAGTTGGTATTAATTCTACGTCTCTCACGAGGCAGCGAGAGGAATATCGCAGTGTCGTTTTTGTTACCATTCCTCTGTCAATTCGCGTCCTCAATGCTCCTTCTAGTAGACCCTACTGCTGCTATCTTATCGTATTGTGTCTATTGGGCTGTCTACGGCGCCCAGTCAAGACGACGTCGTGGTAAGGAAAGGGAGAAGAGCCTTGATGTCACCTTACTGGTGTATAGTATACAAACCATTATTTTGGGAAGCAAGTGTATCTTGGATAACTGGGAGGAGATATGGCGGAACGCAGCGCTAGGGTGAGGCGATCTGCTGATGTGTCGGAGGAGTGGTATGGAATTAGGTATAATCTAGAGTTACCCTGCGTGGAGGTCCACTTGAACATCAGCATTGGATTCATTCTATATAATTTACATCACAGTTTGACGTGGTACACCAAGGGACTACTCCATGACATCCTATTACTCTCGAGTAAGGCGCCCCCTTAGTCTCTGAATATTATAATTATTACCACCACTATAATAGCAGGGGAGATTTTATGGCTAACGAAATGCAGCTAAACTGGCGTCACGAGGCTGTCGTGACACGCAATAGTAATCCCGTGTCACCGCTAGCTACACTGACGTTGTAGTTCACATTTATCATTCGTGTCGTAGAAAGGCATGCATAGAGACCTTCAGGGGTTACTAGTGATCTTCCATCTGGAGTAGTCGTATGGTACCATCACATATTGAAGAAAATACATCATGCGAATCCTCTCACTGCTCAGGTTTGGTCCTCTCTGATATCCTCGAGTGCTACGGCTTGGCCCTTGTGGTCAGTACATTTGTATCTTCCCTTGGTTCGGCAGCCTACATTTTCTACATACAGAAAGACTCCACTCGGGGTCACTTGGAGTACATTATTTGTTATGGCCTTTCGAGACTACTACTCTTATGCTGGACAGTGATGGTAATATATGAGGCATTTGACCCGCCACGAAGTGAATGGGAGCATATCGGCTCTTGGGGACCACCCGTCGTAGTCGTCCTACAACTGTGTGTATTTTGGGCGGAAGTTGAGGCGTGGCAGGCTCAATGTCGAAAGTTCAGACGAGATCAGTGGAAAAGATATAAAACTTCGATGAGGAATATGCGGAGGCAAATGGAAGAAGAAACTCCCTTAAAGACGACTTATTTCGTTACGATCAAGTCTCGAGAGCGCTGGGGTCTTGCGGGTCTGACGTGCTCGTCGCCAAGACGGATAGGACGGGTGAGGTTCGAATCATGATGGTGGTAGTGGAATAATGTAGGGGTTGCTGCAGTATTTGTGTAACATGTGTATACTCTTCTCATGCGATATGCAATGATGATTATGCTCCTATTGGAGTTTCCCTTATACGGGGTCTAATTGTGTTGGACGGGACATTGCTGGATAATGTATAGAGCAGTTGTGAATCTCAGGAACTATTCAGGAGTTGATACCAGTTGCGGTTGAGCATTGGTTCTAAGTTGAGGCATAACTTTAGTGAACAGCGAATCTCAGTGAAGTTCCCCGCGTAGCTTTATGCCTCCTAGACGATCGACTGCTGCCAAGGCTAAGGCTAAGCCGGCCACTCCACCACCTCTGCCGACCTATAAACTGCGTTACTGTGATAAGGACAGCATTTCTCCTAATCTGCATTGCTCCGTCTGTTGTGAGGTATAAACGGTAGCAGAAGTATCTTGTTGTGCATGCGTGTTGAATAGGTGTTCACTGATCCTGTCTGCGCCACACCTTGCGGGCACACGTTCTGTAGAGAATGTCTGTATCAATGGCTAGGCCTCAAGAACACCACCTGCCCTGAATGGTAGGACATGTTATACCTGGGAACTTGTATATGGTGGATTTCAGTCGAGGCAGAATCACTAAGCAGAATTGTCACAACGATTTGATGGCACGTAAGTTCCTCGACGAACAGGACGTGTAGGTTTTCTCAACCGCTCCATTGCAACAGTCAAACTTCTTGCATTAGGTACTGTCCTTTTAGAGGTTGTCAATGGGACGGCAAGCACGGTGATTTGGAGGCGCATATGGGCGACTGTGATTGCGATCCTAGGAGAGTACCGGACTTTTTAAAGTGAAAAGTTTCCCTCGGGGTTGATAGTTGATGCCATCGCAGTTCGTCGTCGTTGGAAGACTCACAAGAAGATGCGAATAGTAGCATGATGGGGGGCGCTCTTAGGGTGAGCAGGGATTTGTTCATGATAAAGAATAAGGCGTTCTCTCAGATGGAATTGTTACGACAGAATAACTCCAGTTTGTTGAAGGCAGCCGAACAGGGGTTTTTCACTCGATCTACTGTGCCAATAGAAGAAATACTAGATGACGATGATGAAGAAGAGAATGACGGTAATACCAGCATGCAGTGAGCTCCTAAATGGTTTCTCGCCATGCTAGTCACGACCCTGCCGGCCAAGCGTCCACGGAGGGATAGTGAAGTGATCGCCATACCGGACTCCTAAGCAGCCCCAAGCCAATTACTTACTATCTATTGAGACCATTGAACATTCTGGATCCGTTGAGCACAGCTACTTTATAGAATCTCGTGTTAGTCAATGATCATAGGGAGGATTCAACAACTTGTTGGCTCTTCACTTGATGACGGTGGTCGAATCTGCAGCTCCGAGGAAATCGATCGAGTCGGCTGCAACAGGTTATGAAGAACCTACGGGTGAAGCGAAGGCCACCACGTCGGCCCTCCGAGTTCTTCGAAAACTGTCACCATTGGAGGTAAGAAATTAGCCTTTCCTCTCTGGCCAACCCTATATTGTAGGTACCGATACCACTGTCCGTGAAGATACCCTCGTTTGAGACCAAATCGGCTCTGATGGGCCTCAACTATACTACCTACAACATTAAAGTGGAAGACTTCAACCGACCCCATTCGGTCAATCGGAGGTTAGCAGCGGCCAGTGTCGCCTTGCTGCGTTATCACTGTCAACAGGTTTGATGATTTCGTGAAATTCCACGAACACATTAGCTCCCTGCCTTACCATAGAGGAAGCAGCCGGGGCTCTGAGAATGGCGATGGCCAATCACCACCGACTTTGGTAGGGTACCCATCGGTTACGGCGTCTGCTCACATTGACCAACTGAATACAGTCAGAGATCTCTCTGACAATATACTACATCGCTGCATTCGTGTTGGGATGGCTACTCCCCCCTAACTGTTTCTGAGTGGAGTAGCCCCCACCAACAGCGGAATTGATCACCACGATTCGGCTGAATTGAAGATACTGCGATCAGTCCAGGGAATTCCTATTACCTTCCCCGGCCGGGTAAATTGATTGTATTGAGGCATATCTTGGGATGGCATAGTTGCCCCAGCCGGGTAAATTGATTGTATTGAGGCATATCTTGGGATGGCATAGTTGCCCCAGCCGGGTAAATTGATTGTATTGAGGCTTATCTTGGGATGGCATAGTTGCCCCAGCCGGGTAAATTGATTGTATTGAGGCATATCTTGGGATGGCATAGTTGCCCCAGCCGGGTAAATTGATTGTATTGAGGCATATCTTGGGATGGCATAGTTGCCCCAGCCGGGTAAATTGATTGTATTGAGGCATATCTTGGGGTGGCATAGTTGCCCCGGCCGGGTAAATTGATTGTATTGAGGCATATCTTGGGGTGGCATAGTTGCCCCGGGCGGGTAAATTGATTGTATTGAGGCATATCTTGGGGTGGCATAGTTGCCCCAGCCGGGTAAATTGATTGTATTGAGGCATATCTTGGGGTGGCATAGTTGCCCCATTGGCAAATATTATTCCTATCAAAGAGGAAACAAGCCTTCAAGAGAGCACGCTTTCCTCCTATGAAATCATGCAGGAAAACCAGGAAAAGTTTTTCCCCGGGGAAAAACTTCCGGAGCATCGCGAACCTTGAGTGTGTTCTAGTTCAAGATGATCGGAGAATACTGGCTGATCAGGGAAGTATCTGCAGCCCCTCTGGAGATCCCCTGGTGCCAGCCCTGCCGCCCAAGCAGATGTTTGGCTCCACCTTACCCGCTGTAGTGGAGGAAAGAAGACCGGCGTTAGAAAGGATCCTCCAACGCGCTGCTCGGAGGGAGGAGGTACACAGCTAATCCTTGGGGATGTGTTCTATTTTTCATTGTCACTAGGTCTTGTCTCTCGACTCTAGTGATTCATTCTGGAAACTTCTGGAACTCCCATCAGCATGCGCCGTTGTGTGCCGCTTCCTGATCCCGTCAGGCCAGAGAAGTTGCCAACGCATTCAGGATCTCTGTGGTCGGTGCTGGACCTACAGTGTATCTACCCACTACTCTCGACAGGTCTGCTAGACCCAGATAAAGGGAAGGAGCAATATCGGCTCAAGCACGAGGCAGTTGTAAGGTGCCTCCTCAATATTGTAGACAGTGAGGCTAGAGGTAGCCATTGACCGACCATTCTTAAGAGACTATCTCCTCACCAGGGATCATATCTCTCCCTCCACCGGCCTTCGCATCGGTCATGGACGTACTGCACTTTATAGTGTCTGACGAGGGATCCCCAGGAAATGTCGGAGCATCTGAGAACGCGAGAAAACTGTGAGAGCTCTTTGGAAGCAATAGCAGCCTCCCTAAGGGCCCCGCAGGTTCGTGTCTGAGGGAGGTATCCTAAGTCTGCTGCGGGTACTGGCCAGAGGAGGTCCTGAGGAGGCAGGCAACGGGGATGTTGTCATCCTCAGCAGTGATAGACCAGTAGCAGTTGCCTCCTGTACCATCTAGGTTAGTCGGCCCTTCAGACTGTCGACGGCGATGTTGGGCCCGACAACACCACAGTCCGTATTGACCAAGCCAAACGCGTCCTCAATGGTCTCATCCAGGCCTCAGGAGAAGCCTTCAGTGGAAGACTGCTGGAGACCTTCCAAGTGATAACGACCTCATACTGGTATGGTAGTGTCTTCTGTGCAGGCATATGATGCGATTACTGTAATCACTGAGGAGCTACTGCCCGTCTCGAAGGCGCATCTGCATGATACCATAGCTAAGCTCCTCTGGCTCAGCTTAGATGAAGAGTTCCAAGTAAAATACGTTCCCGGATCACCTTACAACCGTTTCCTCGATCTAGGTCTTCCTGCTCGGTCACCCTCGTGGCCTAGACTTTCTCGGATCCCTCTTCGCCTCCCCTTTCCCTAGTACTCGAGTCATATGCGGTTTAATCTTGGCGACTCTTGCTAGCGCTGATCGACTGTAAGCAGGCATCTTAGTCACGCTTTGATATTAGAACTTTCCTTAGGGACGACGTGACGCTACTAAGCAAAATCGATTCGGGTCTTTGGCAGCTGCTGACTACCGAGTTGCTGCCTTCCGAAAGCCTCTCCCCTTCGGCTCGTGTGCCGGGATCACTCCTATCTTCCCTAACACGAACCCCAGGATGCTTGGCTCGAGTAGCTCAGTGTCTAGGTGGAGCCTCTAGTCAAACTGTGAAAGGGTTTGCATGCTGGGTCAGCCTTGCATTGGCTCGGTGGTTCTTAGGACCGTCCATAGGTTCTCAGCAGCTCCTCGTCGTCACTGAGGCCAGGCTCGGAGCTCTCTAAAACTATAATTAAAGCTGCAGAAAATCTCATCTTACAGGTAAAAGGTCTCTATCACCGTCTCACAGGTGATGTGTCAGTCGAGTGATCTTGACCAAACCATCAGTGGGTTGGTTGCACAGCTACTACTACGGTTCAGGAAAGATGGTATGCGGACATTGAGGTCGCCTCTCACGTATCAACTCGGGCAGATTCATGGAATCTCCTCAGGTCAACTCCAGGAGAATGCGTAGCAGTGGATGAGAGTTTACGAGGAGCCTTACAAGAGCACATAGCATCTAGAAGGATGCGGAACGCTCAAGACGTCGAGCAACAGGAGGGGTCATCAGGACATGATCCGTATCTTTCGCAAGTGGCACATAGATACCTCTTCTCACTAGTCGCTGAGTGTGACGCTCGACGGGAGGCGATTAATAAAGCGGTGGCCCCGACAGAGATGAACGATGCCTTTCGAAGCTTCGACAAATGTCTGGCTAGATATCTCCAGTCCATCCAGGGTTAGTATATTGGGCCTATTCTGTATCTTACCAGCATGAAAGATACGGATGCGGTGCTCAGCAAGTGCAGGGCTGGGATAGCCAAACTGAACTCATCCGCTGAGGCAGACCTCCGTCCCTTGCCGGAGCTAGACCCTGGGGAGGTCCTAGCCTGGGCCACTAGCGCTCTTGAGGTCAGCCATCATCAGACCTTTGAGCATGATCATGAGGCTTGCTGTGCAGTTACAGCAGGTCGAGGGAGAGATAGCCGCTTTAAACGACAAGGCTGAGGCATGTGACAGGGAAGCTCGGAGGGCGAAGAAGGAGGCACACGCGGTGGAGCAACGACTCAAGACAATTACTGCTGATCTGCATGGTAAGATCTGCTACTATGAGCGGTGATGATGATCAATTTATTCAGCTCTGGATGCCCGTATAATATCAGAGGGAAAGGCACCTGGTGACGAAAGGCGGCAGCTAGCTGATACCAGGTCCGAGCTGGACGCTCAGTTGTTGCAGTTAAAACAGGTTAGTCTCTGTTAAGATGGATGGGAGGAAATAACAGCGTTCAGGTAGCTGCTTCCAAGCGACTTGAAGGGAACACACTGAAGCAGCGGGCTGCCGAAATAGCTGCTGGTCAGGGAGCAACGGTTGCCTCTTCGACTGTTGATAGGGCTCAACAGGCAAGAGGGGATGTCATCGTGGAGGAGTGGGTGGCTCGAATGGAAGCATCGAAAAAGTAAGGCCAGTTCTGTTGGTATTGTTCATTATTTGCATTTGGTCAGGTCCACCAGACAAGTCCACAAGCTGAGTACTCACCTCAGTACTGTGGGTATGCGATTGCAACAAAACGAGAAGGCCGCTCAAGAGGATCTCTTGGCCTCAGTGAGGTCACTTCAAGAACGCCTATCACTGCTAGAGGCATGTTTAGCACAGCATCATTGATCCTCATGGCAGGCTCTCCTTTGTAAAGCTTTTGCGTTGTCGTTTATTATCTCAGTAATAGCAAATCGCGTTTTCACATATCCACCCGAACTGGTTATCACAACTATTCAGCGTTCGTCTAGTTGTATTTACACCCGAATCGTTTCCACATCGGAGTGAAAATGAAAGGAAGATTATATGAATTATTCATAATGAATACAACGCGACACGGTAGGATAGATTAAGACAACGATGATAGCTGATTCGTATTCAGCACAACATGATAATGATCATTGGATCGGTCTATCTATTCATGCAAATGGCTTTCACTAAATTTTTTGCGTTGCTGTTGAACTTCGTCCCAGGATAGCGTGTCACGTATTTCTGTACACCCGCCTTGCACTTATCGAAGTCACTTTTGTACTCTCCAGGAGGTACATCCACGGCATCAACATTACTTATATCCCTGTCAAGAGTGTTGTTGGTAAGAGGTCTACAGAATGGCTTACCCTCTTTGTTCATTGCTAGGACACCTCCAGGCTAATGCATGGACCTTCTCGTCATTGACAATGAACCATATTGTCTTATATGAACCAGATTGGGAGTACGATACAGAGCAATGGGGCTGTGGCTGGCCCTTATAGTGGATAGGAGGACTGCCGCGAGCCAGTGCGCCCTCAACCTGAAAGAATTCAACTTATGTGGCAGATTTCTCGTGGCAGCCTCACATTCACTTTACCGCCGGTCAAGGTGAGTCTTTCCTTGACTTTGTGTCGAGTCAAGGCGAGAGTGATGCTGCAAAACCAGTAAGAAGAGAGGATGAAACGCATTGCCGTTTGACCTAAGCTGATACACAATGGTCAAACTGAGTAACCACTACTACTTTGCGACCCTTAAAGGAATTGAGCACATGCTTCATTTTCGGGCGCGCGCTAAATAGTCACCTGTGATGGGTCGTGCTTCGCTCCGCCGTGGCGCACTGTCCCTATTCTCTGTGCGATCCTCCACTGTGTGCTACAGACCGTATCTGCGAGTACTGCAACCGCTTCGCAGTATTTTTAGCTATAGGATATCGATCATACGTAATTGTCCTACAAGCTTAGTTCAGGGTTTCTACGAGCTCTGTACAAGTACACTTTATACGTAGTCCACTCGTGTTCTGTACACGTCTTCCACTCGTACCCTTATCCCCGTCGTCTATCGTAGCACTCCTGCGGTAGTCATATTCTCTGGTTATCTCTATCTCGTATAGTCACCGCTCTGTACGTAGTTGGATATCTGGTTATAGCTCAGTCAGCTCAACTCCTTATACCCTAGGTGTGCTGGTTGTATTCTAGTTGGGTCGGTTCACTCCTGCGACACGCCAGGTTTGAGGGCGAAGGCTCGCTGATTGTTTCCTCGTTGGTGGGCGTGGTCAAGGGAACTTACTTTGACACTTCTCACGGAGCCCTGAACCTCAGTCTGTTGACCTCTCTCATCCATCGTGTACCGACATCGTAATTTCAAAGCCATCGTCAGTCGGAAAGCCTCTTCTGTAGAATCCAGGTCAACCATCGTTTAACATTGACGCCATTATTGGCATATCAACATGCTTCGGCATCTAAAGCTTTGTCGAGGTTTCCAACGATCAAACCGCACCCTGGTTTGAATAATGTATGAATTTTGGGACGAAATTTTTGTCCTCAACTTCCAACTAGACGGCCATCAGATCGTGTGTGAATGTACTTCCTTTATCCTTCATAGGCTTCATCATCACTCTGCCTAATCAGCAGTAGATTGTCCGAAGTGCTTTCGACTCACATAGGTGTCCATAGAAATACGATGTGTCATCATGACACATCGTATTTCTATGGAATTATATCGATTAGTATTAGTATTCTATCGTATTAGTATTTTTTTGACAACCAAACATGACACTGTCATGTTCGGTTGTCAAAAATACACCCATGACTCATGTTTGGACATCTGTGTGCCGACGGATTTTGCAAAGACCAGAAAGTGTATAGTATACACTGTATAGGAAGACCCCGGAGTGATGTTTGGACAAGCAATCGTCCGAATGACATTTTTGAGTCTCATATGTCCACCTTACCGGGCTAGCCTTACCCTTCGACAAGTTGGGCAAATCTCGCTACGCCCTCTAAAGTATAATACACTGTTAGCATATCATGCATATGTGCTTACTAATTATCGCACTGGTGGTCGTGTTGGTCTGTGTTGGGCCTTAACCGTACCATGATATACTCACGGCTTCATGTCTGCAGTGCGGATTGCAAGCGAAGCGACGCAACCATCGGCATCGGTATTCAATTTGTGTTAACTTTTAAACCCTTACTATAATGCAACAGGCTGTTACCAACAGGTCAAACTGAGACTGCGCTCAGATATTCAGGATAAGCCTTTGGGGTGAAGCACGATGTAGTGTGACAGAGAATTTAACTGGTTGAGTGATGTTAATCTGAATATCATCGGGGGGCAGGTATGTGATAACGGCACCTGACAAAAGATGGCCCAATGAACAATCCAATGCCATGAGTGATATGCACTCGGTCTCGTGAAAAAGTGATATCACATTGACACTGATGGAGCCTGAGCGAGTGTTTTTAGAGCTTACTGTCAACAGCTGCACGGGCCATAGGTGGAAAGGCGCTGGTATCGTCCAGAACAACCTTAGCTCCTTCCATGTGGAACGGCACAGGCGACGTGTTGTTGAAAAGTATACTTGGAGGCGTAGATTTCGTCTGCATGAACCTGAGAATAAAACCCAGAATCAAGTAATAACCAGTATTGGACTTTGCGGAGGATATGATGGCACGGTAGACACTCCTGCTATTAAGAACGCTGCAAGCGAGTGAAGAAGGCGACATTTCGCGAGGTAGATGAGCTTACATTGTTGTAATAACAAGATTTTTAGGGTCAGCATCAGAGGTAACGACCTTGCCTGTTACGGAGCCGAGAATTGGCACAGTCCCATCGAGCAAGAAAGTGCCAATAGGAGGTGGCCCCGGAGGTAGAGTCGGGCCATGAGTTGTAGTAGGCCCAGGAGGTCGGGTAGTGCCTGGAGCTGTAGTAGCCGGTGAGGCCGTAGTGGTTCCACCACCTAAAATGGTAGGTCTAGGGAACCTGTCTCCGAGTATTCGACCCACCGTTGCTGCTGCTGCATCCTTCCCAGATGACAGCGTTGATAATCACGATAGCGAAGGTCAAGAAGATTTGCATTTTTGGGGTCAAGGAAGCTGAAGCCGGACCCCATTGGCCAGAGCATCTCTCCTATTCGACGAGCAGTAGGGTCCCTACTGTAGGAATACACTCACTACTATAACAGGCGGCGTGTTCTTCACAGCTTACTAACGAGCGAGGCAACCAGTCTCTTGATACAAACGAAGCTCTATTACACGTTTAGGGCGATTCGGAGAAATCGCGTGGCCGCACGCACCACATGAATACGCTGAATCATATTGTGACTCAAGGATACGCCAATACCGACGTCGCCTTCCATGAACCTTACCGAATTCTTTGAATGGTCGGGACAGAAAACCGAGCATATCAGTGAAAGTGGTACCTGTGAGCATGGAATGCTCAGCATTCCCCGACGCTATCCGCTGTCGGACAGCAGCTTTGTCAAAACATCCAACCTACTTCGCTGTCTACTGTTATCAATGGTGGTAGCAGAATTGTCGATGCAGTCCACCATCGATCGTCGCATCATCATGACTACACCATCGGCGTGCAGACGAAGCATACTTGTGAAGTCGCAGTCTGCACACTTCAAACTCGATGCAGGAAAGCGCAGTGTGCGCAGACTGTGCGGCGCAGACTGCGCGCGTAAAATTCACGTCTACAGGTATTGACTGTGTTCTGTGAACCCTTTCAGTCGGTGTACTCCAGTGACTCCTAGATAATTAACTGGGAAGTTCCTAGTGGGAACACAATCTAGACAAACACTAACAGTTTGATCATGCTGGATCACTGTTATCGATAACCCTCCAGCGGAGGGCATCCGCTCAATTGAGGACCCGATGCACGCCTCCCCGCCAGCGACCGACTTCGGCGCTCGACAATGCGCTGCTAGACTGGTATGGCCAGTGGCTAACCCTTCAGCCCAGTGGCTAACCCTTCAGCGTAGTTGCTGAAGGGACGTTGCTGCGAGGCACGGTTAAACTCCGTAGCATACACTGAGGGAGACTCATATAAGGTTCTCACGCGAGGCGTGAATGGGAATGTGTAATACTTGGTGCACAACACAGAAATTCTGGCGGAGATAAGTGAGTAGGAAGACAAGAAACAATGACATGACTGATCAATAATATAGATCAAGGGATCAAGGGACAACAATTGTGACCACTGTCACGGAATGGAACGCGGAGATTCGACCTTACGGTACCACTCGTCTCTATATCGCCTCCGGGCACGTGAGGT